GGAAAGCGATCGTTGCCCATAAACATCCGCAATTGCAGATGCGTTGCCTACCCTTAATTGACGGAGGGGGAGACGTACATAAAGAGGACATTTCCCCTACCAACGCGTCTCTACCACCGTTAAATCTATTTTTTCTTCCCATCCTTTCCTCTTAAGAAAAGGGTGAAAAGGGAAAGGAACTAATTTAGGCCTCCAGCACCACACTCATTAGACGAAACGCGGAATTGCCTTCACTTCACGCCTGTTTTCGGTGAGGTCGTGGTATTGCTGGGGGCGAGCAGGCCCATTTGTGCGAAGATGTTAAAGCGGGCTCTACTATTGCAAGCTGTTCTCTACATATATGCCAAATTTCATCGAGATACTTTTGTCTAGACATAATAAAGGTTAATAAGGTTAAATAAGTAAAGCAAAACTTACTTAGATGGATTGTTTGTTAGAGTTTGTAGCCTAAATTGCTGAAGGAATCTGGATGCTTGACACAGATTTAGAGCATAGTCTGGAAGAATGTTTTGTTAATACTGCGCGGACGGAATCGCTGGCGTAAGCTAGTAAAATTGATACTTGATATGAAATATCGATATCACATATAGACACTCCAATTTTCATTAAAATATATAGATGTGTTTAACATGACATAATAGTGTGTTCTTGAAAAGCAAACTGCGCTTGCGCAAGTCAACTTGACCTTGTGTTATGACCTTGAGATAAAAAAAATTGATTTTTTTTTAAATAGAGTAAATTGTTTCTGTTAGGTCTAGGTTTAGTGGCATTGCTGACGACGCAGAACGCCACCGTGCTGCAGAGGTTCCCCGCCATCTTGCTCAACATCACTGAAGTACTGAACGATGTTATGAAGACTGAAGAGAACGGCACATATATCGAGTAAGTTATGTTACTTGACAAAAAACCTGAAAAAATTTAATACTGTTGGAGGAATAGGAATTTATACTTTTTATAACACTAGCTGTTGCTCGCGACTCATAGTCGCTTAATTTTCTTTTTTTTTCATAGAATAATTATTATTGTACAACGCTCAACGCACTTTGGTGGTAGCAGAGCTTTACCAATCGCACTGTGCGTTTTACAATTTAATTAGCTGTTGTGTAGCCTTGGAATTAATAAATATTAATACATATTAATCACTGATAAATTAGCTTTTTAATGGTGAACGAATTTTTGAAATCGGCTTAGTAGTTTCTGAGTTATTTTAATAAATACAAAAATCCAAATCTTTTTTCTTTTTAATATTAGTATACATTAACAAAAATCTACTAAAACCTTTATTAAAATAAAAAATAATGTTTCAGTGGTCTGGTAGCACCTCCGGGCTCGCGGCCCGCTTCCCCGCTGGAGGGACGCGGGGGCGCGGCGCGCTGGGCGGGCGCGGGGGGAGAGGACACCGCGCACGAGCAGCGTCGCCGCCGCCTCGCCGCCGCACACCCCGCGCACGCCGTCGATTTACGCCTCGTTACACACCACCAGGTACTCATGCACTCCTGGTACTTTTATGTACAATACTAGCTTTCGTCCGCGATTCCGTCTGCGCGGCATTAAAAAAAAACAAATTGACTAGCCTACGTGTCCTTTCGGACTATCCTCTACATCTATACCAAATTTCATTGACATCCATTCAGCCGTTTAGGCTACAACTCTAACATCCATCCATCCATTTAAACTTTCGCATCTATAATATTAGTATAATTGAACTTTGTGTCATCATCATAATTATAATCATCATCCATTGATGTGATTACACGTCACCACTTAGGGGCTCCAAGTCTACATGCTTCACACTTGACCAGTACAGTCGGTTAGTAGCTAATCACTGGACTGGTAACTAATTGTACTGATTATAAGATAACTGGCAAAGTGTGAACCTGTACATATGAAAAACTAGATTACAAACTAATAAATTAATCACCAAGTCACCGATCCTCCTGTACGTGTTTTTAAATATCTTTGCGGTCCGAGGTTATCAGAGCCGTCATGATAGTAATACACTTTTTATACATGGAACATATTGTTACTAGAGGCTAAGTGTAAAGATTAAGGGAAGCCCTATGTCTGGGGGTTAGAGTTCTAGCAATAAGGTTAACGGATCCCACACTATAAGATACCAGTAAATCTAGTTATAGAATGATTCGTACGTTTCACCAAGATTTTTAACATTTGCTATTTTCCCTACCAGTTGGAAACATTGAAGAACCAAGTGGGAGCGGAAACTTTCGAGCGACTGGTGCAGTCTACTGACCCTGATACTTTGAAACAGATA